TAGTTTTAATGGAATAAATGGAGCCTCTGATTTTGGCTTCCAGGGTGCTAATGTGAAAATAATTTTATTAATGCATCATTGATTATTCAAAGCAAACATGTCGCGTTGCTGCTGTTCTTTAAACATCTACAATAAGCAATTTGTAATCAGTTATAACTGATGAATGATTTCCTAGAACAACATTGTTTTTTACCAAGTTTTCCCAAAGGTTCAATCAACATCTTTGCCTAAGTGTTTGTATTTAACAATTTTCGAAAACTCCCCAACAAAAAGATATTTCAGGCTCACCATATTGTTTCAATGTTTATTTATCGTGCTGCTTTTGTTTCTGTTGAGCGGTGTGACACTCAGCTCACGCCCTCTCCCTTGTTTATATTTATACAGTAAGGCCTGTAAAGTAGGGGGAGTATTGTGACCACTCTTTTCTTTCCATCCTCTGGGTGGTAATTGTCTTTCAATTGTCTCCTCCTCCTTTTTATTTGAAATATGGATGGCGATCCAAGCATTGGCTCGTGATTCCGACAAGGCAAACATTACCGGGCTGGAAACAAACGTAATAGCTGCTTTCAGAACCACCGATCAAGAACGAACACGAAGATTTAACTTCATTAGACGCGCATCACAGCACCTCCAATTCAATGAAGCAACCTCTTTTCACTTGTATTCCGCTGTGCTCGTATTCTTGTATCCCCAAACTAGGTATCCACTGCAGCTAATTAAGCATAGGACAAGGCGTTGTGGTGATAATAATGGTAATTTTTTTAAAAATGTTCTTTGGGTACGATTCTCAATTCCTAGTTAGCTGGGACTAGAAGGGCTCTGGTGGTATTTCCAGGCAGTCTGCCGTGCAACATGGATGGCGTTGTGACAACTTCCTGCACCTAGATAGCTCTGTGATTTTGTCTTCTAGTCTTTATCTTTCCATCTGATATATTGTACCTAAACGAGAGAGGTAGCCTGGTTGCTTGCTTCAGTCTTTCTCATTTTAAACAGACCACTTTTGTGTAAGTCAAAAAACTGCTCGTATCTATCGTTTCCCTTTTCTCTGTAGTCCATCTCCATTAACGGTGATCGATGAATTCGGTCGCAGCACGCTTTATAGAGCAATGACATGTCAGCACAATTTTTCCGTGTAAGGGTTCCATGGACTCTGGTAGTTTCATTGCCCAGTTTAACGTGAAGGTACGGAACGGCACAATGCCCATGGTATCTGGGTAGCCCTTCTTCACTGCTCACCCCATCGGCTAATGTAGTTAGAAGATGTGCCACAAAGAAAGCTCACCTCATCTACCGGGGCTACTTTACCGAGATCAGTAGATTTTTCACAATGCAGTCGAAACAATATGTGGCACAGCGTGGTGAAATCAGGAGGTTCTCAAAATAATGACATTTTTAAAAATACTATTTTTTAACCAGTTAGGCCTTTTTTTTCTCTATTTTTTTTTTACCCAATATAGATTATGTCCATTTCAGAACAAATTTCTGCATGGATTTTACTTTAAAATATTGATCAAAAGCACAAAATTGTTTAATATTTAGTTTTCAAGTTCTTTCAAGCTTTAGATCTGCCAAACTTTGGCGGCCATTTTTCTCAATAATTTAATTAACCTCTACTTCCAGGTGACCCCTACCTCATGTAAGCGCAGATAAGTCGACTAGTATTTCAGAGAAATGAGTAATTCTTTCATCAAAAGTAAGGCAAATCAATAGAAAATGATTATACCATTTACTCCATATTTTATGAAAAAAAAATTGAAGAGCGCCTGATTCGAAACGATGATAAGATTGTTGAAAATTGGTGGCAATAACAATTGTGCCATAGAGGATAATGGCTCCCATCTCGATATGAGGACACCAATCATTGCAAAGGAGCTCACAGGCTAAAATCATGATATTGTCGTTCTCAGTGGAACAAGATTTGCTGATGGCAGTCAGTGGAAAGAGTTGAGTGGCGGCTATAGTTTGTTTCGGAAAGGAGAACACCTTTCAGAAAATAAAGCATTTGAATCTGGCTTTACAAATAAAAATCACATAGCAGCCCATCCAAAAGGTACAAGTGACAGCATCATTTTTCTTGACAATGTGTTTAGTTCTACAATTCCTCGCAAAATAACATAAAACGTAAATATGTAAGGCGTGTTACTCTTCTTTTTGTTTGTTTACTATGAATCTCGGGGCTTCAGGAAAGCGACACCCAGCTTGCTACATCCATAAAGGCAACACGTAAAAACAAGCAATCAAAAAGATTTCAAAAATAGCATAATATAGGAGTAAGCCGTTTTTCTGAACATTAATTTTCATTAATCTCCTCCCTCTCGTTCAGTTTCATAAACTGTGATCAATCTTTGTCCTCTGATAACAATGTTTGAAGCATGAAGAACATTAATAAATTAATGTTCGAGCATGGTAAGATGCATGGCGTGTGTTTAATACCCGGTCCAACAAAGACAGCCAGGGTGAGACTCGCCACCATCTACACAAAATAAAAAACACTGGCAGGAGAATGATGAAAATTGAACTTCCCCCCTTCCGAAAAAAAACAAAGAAAACTAAAATTCAAATTTAAGAACTCTAAACTCAAACTTTGAACTAGAGTTACCAACATAGTCTTTCTTCATGAAGTGTTTTTGCTAAATAAACGCAACATTTCTAATCTGGGAAGATATCATTCTAGATAGCCTCATAGACTTAAGTTATGATATCTTGCATCGGGCATTGTCACGGTTGCCTCTGTTTGCTCATAATTAACCCCACCCCCCCCCAAAAACAAAAAACAAAAAAACAAAACATTTAAAAAATTAAAAAATCGTCGCTGCACTTGCTCAGAAATGTATGGTAAAACACCAGTCTCTCTACGGTTAAGTGTCTGGGCAACCTTCCCCGTCCCCAGTTTGCCCTCCATGGTGAACCAGAATTACGTCAGAGTTCACAGTCTTGGATAAGATGCCTGTCTTTGGTTCAAGCCCAATATGACATACTTGTACATAAAAACATTTTACAATAATATTATTTTATTTTTGATTGACTACATTAATAATATAACTCATAATTTGCTTTTGTTCCATATTCAAAAGCACTGTCCAATGGCAATTTTCTTTACGTTAGCGGTTAAAGACATGAGTTCGATTCCACTTTGAAGACGCCTATTATAATAAAGGGTTTATATTTGTAGCTGGGGTGCTTTATAATGCCACTCATGGCAGGCAGTTAGGCACTGACTAACATGCCCTCCCAAATGATCTAGGATACAAGGGATGTTCAATAAAACTTTACCATGACATTGAAGAATTGTTATAGATCTACAACAACGAAATTTGCCAGATTGGTTTTCTATTTTTCTGGAGTGCTGCATAATAATATGGATTTTTAGGAAAATCCGAACAAAAATCGGCATAGCTGCAGTGGACAACACCTTCATTTTCATCGTCGAAGAAGGCAAAGGTGCGACCTTCAATAAGTGGAAAGGCTATGCTATCCTGTTATTGGGAATAGTTATGGTTTAACCTTTACAGATTACTAAGAAAATGGCCATACCAACATAGGGGGCTATTATTCGGCGTTGTTGAAGAAACTTCAATCTACCTTTTCACAGAGAAGATGAGAGGAGCTGCAAAAATGAATCCTCATGCTGTACGACAATGCCTCATAGTTCAGCATACAGATATTGAAGACAACTCAGAGAACAAAACATTTTGGCTACGATATTCCACCACACCCATTCCTATTCACCGGGTATGCCTAACTCTATTCCTTTCCCCAAATTTGGAGACAACGTACGCAGTGGGCAGTCTTTCCATTGATAGGAATGGTGATGTTATATCTGCAGTGAAGCAATGATTTGAGTTACATCCAAGGTCATATTATTAGCAATATTGGCAAAAGTGTGTCAATTTGCAGGGTGACTATGCATAACGGCATAACTCCTTGCTAGTCTGGGTCGAAAACGTTTTATGTCCCTTTGTCCATATTGCAAAACGACGTCAGGTCTCTTAATTCATTGATAAAATTTAATTTTGTCTGAAGTCCAAATTTTCTAAGTTGCGGAAACATAGGTAAGTTTCGATAGAGAGAAAGCATTCGTCAATTAAAAATTGATAAACAATATTTTACTAAGTCATAAAAATAAATAGACTGATAGACATTTGGAAATAGAGAAAGGTACACAGAATCATGCATGTGAAAGGTTGATTGGTTGAATTTTAGTTACTTATTTATTCTTTTTTTTTTAATTGGGACGGAGATGTGGGCGGGGGTCTAGGACTGTTGCAGTGTTCACTGACTTAATTACAACTCTCAGGTCAGTTAGAAGATTTCTCGTTTCATTTATTTTCAGAGCTCTCTGTAGATTCGTAAACGTCGTTTGCATTCGGACGGTGAACCTCAGAGTATGTTGTTTAGGGCACTTCCTGAACACCGACTAGGCATATAGATAGATAGATAGATAGATAGATAGATAGATAGATAGATAGATAGATAGATAAATAGATAGACAGACAGATAGACAGATAGATAGATAGATAGATAGATAGATAGATAGATAGATATACAAAATCACTTTACATTTGAAATATGCATGACAAACTGTAAAGACAGCAAAATTAACAATTCTGAAAAACAAAACCAATCAGAAATAAAAAGAGTCACAACAATCATGATGCCATATATATTTTGGACAAAAGCAAACCAACCCCCCCCCACCCCCCCACACACAAAAAACAACCTTTAACTTTAATGTAGTACTTATTATATTTTCTTTTTTTTTATATGTGAGCATTTCCAGTCTTGATGGTGACTAAAAATACGTGTGCCACCCCCAAAGATGCAATGGCACCCTTTCCATTTACTATGAAAAGCATGTTATAAGTTAAAAACGTCGGCAAGTAAAAAAAGGTCAAAAGAGGAGAGGTGACTGAGAACATAAGGTAAGAGAACTTGTAGACAACTTACATGAATCAAAGGGCCTGTAAAAGAATAGCACAACACTGTAAAAATGAACTTACCTTTTGTATTATTTTGAGGTATTATAGTCTGTATCAAACAATCGGTCAAAATTGCAGGTATTCTTTGCGTATAATTACACAATGTAGTTGTTTGATCGGATCATTGGCTATTCTCAACGCTCGCCCAGACTGCTTTTACCTCCACGAATAAAAATTGTTATTTATGGTTTCACTCTAGCAATCTCGAACAGTCTAGGCACGCTTTTGATGGACAACTTTAGCAAGTCTTTCTTAACTAAAAATAGCTTCGGGTATCCAATTTTTAAAAAATAACTTGTAATTTATGCTGTGTGTCCAATGTTCCTCGAGGTAAGTTTGCTCTGTTGTATAATATCTCTGGCGTTAGTTCTCTCTTGAATTCCCGTAAATGATTTATTAACACGACCAAGCCGCACCAAATTATGTTTTCTGGCTACTGGGCGCTTTACGACTCCTCTCCCAAACTGTAAACCGTCTTTTTGTTCCGTCTCTGCGCCCAGTCGTGTTTTTATAGCGTGCGCATGCCCACGCCGGTGCGATCTCTGCCGTCACAGAGTGGCTTTCACGGTTTTTGGCGCGACCCTGCCATTCGAGCTCTCGATTGATTACTTCATTATGCGGGAAGAGCTGGCTCTCCGAAATGCGTATTGTCACTCTGTTTTGACTTCTCCTAAAAGGGTTCAAGGTGTTCGATTTTGCTTGTGTAATTTGTTGTCTTTATGTGACAGCTGGTTTTACTGGTATATATTAATCTGTAGTAGTTGCACAACGCTCGTAGTTTAGTTATTGTGATAAAGAGCTGAAAAAAGGGGTTTCAGTTTTTTTTAAACAACAGACAAAAAAAAACCAACCTACAAACCTAATGTTCTTTAGTCAGCTTGGTTACAGAACAAACCAAGCATTTTGTGGGACAACAAAAGCAAGGCAGAATAATATGTCATAGAAGATTTACAAAACAAGACAAAAACGATGTTTTATATATTATGCACTAGTCTACAAGTTTTGCAAGTTTCTTCATTTGCTAGCCTTAAATATATTATGTTTACAGCTTCGAACACTTTCATATTTTTAAAGCGGGTGTCAAGAAATAGACCTTTTGTATACTGGATGGGATAGAGGTTCAACGTTCTCATGCTCGAGTAGCAAACGTTATGAAGTGGAGAAAGGGGGAAAGGAGTCGTTCTAGTTTTATTATGATGGTGTACAGACGTAGGCAAACAAAACAAACAAACAAAAATCGAGTTCCCTACCTTCATTAAGAAGTAGAAATACGAACTTAAGCAAAACAAAATCATAAGACAAATAAATATAAACCATTTGCGCTCATTCATCCTCTGACACAAATCAGATCACACATAACGGTGGTTGGAGGACGCGATTGGGAGGTCCAACTTCTTTACAAAACGTTTCACGGTGGTAACTAGAAATGGCATGCTTGTGAAATTGTTCTGTGTTGGTGTAATATTGTGTATTTATGTATGTATGTATGTATGTATGTATTTCAGATTATGTAGTTACTACGCTTGTTTACCATTGTAACCAGAATTTCCTTAGAGGAATCAAACGGTACTTTATGTGTTTCTTTTATATACTTCACTTTTGTTGTTTCTGTCTGTCCGCCTTACCTTTTCCCAAGACCAAATGACCATTATTATTGTGTCGATGTGTTTCTCTTAAATCTAATAAACAAAACCAGACCACACAGGAGGCAGGCTGCTTCGAGCATGCCTGACAAAGCTGACCCGAGATAAGAGGGATACAACAGAAAACCTGAAAATATTCTACAAATTTCTCTTCTAAGGGGGAATCAAACTAGCAACTTCTGTGGGTGACGCGAACGTGCCTTTCCACCACACCACAGATACTGATACAGATTTCGGAGGTAAAATAGAGGAAGAGGTATACGTAAAGTATAACCCAGCGTTTCCAACTACTTGACCTGGTGCGCAAAATCTGGAATCCCCATGGGGGACACAGCTCAGTATTAATTATGTCTCTCAAGACGCTCAGTCGTGGGGGTGCAAACGTCTGGGGGTGGGGGGGTAGTTTTTATGTTTTTATCCAGAAAGACATATTCTTATCATTTTTCCAGAAACGTTTTCATGTATACACCTCTCTTGGTATGAAAAGGAGGTAAAACTATTATAATTGCCCATTATTTGTATTTCCTAATGTTTCAACCATTCCTGGCAGAACCAAACCAGGCTGAAAGTGATACAACGTCCAGGTAGAAAGACCCAGATACTGGACATTGTGCTCAAGTCTTATGCTTTCAACAGCAAAATCTCTTATCACAATGCATCATTAAAAAAATAGGTAAGTGTATTTACGGCCCTATCGATATAATTTCAAAAAATTAGGCGGCGGGCTTCCGACCTTGCCTGTCAGGGTCAACCCGGAATGGGAAGGATACAGCATCCCAACAGAAATCGAAGATTCTCAATAAATAAATATTCTCTCCACACGGGAATTGTACTCACGTCTTCTGCAAACGACAGCAAAGCGCCAAACCGCTACAAATTAGACGCCAGTGAACATCATCAGTGATCTATTAGTAAGTAAATTTATTCAGTGTTTCAGGCCATTGGTCCACATCACATCATATAAAACGCTCATTTGTAGAAGAGAAGTATATCATAATGAGAAAATACAGGTGGTGCACGTATCTCTTATCATGGGCTAAACATTGCCTATTTCTGTCTCTGGGCTGAGTCAGGCTGGGAGGAATTAATATCTTCCTTTGATGGGCACAATTTGGACAATAGAAAAATAAAGTGAAATTCATCTTCAAGTACATGAGAGTTACACCTCTCACTTAAGGGTGAATTTATAATTTTCCACCGATAAAGATTGTTATTTAATGCGATAAAGATTGTTATTTAATGGAAGGCTATGAGTTTTTAACAAGGCTATGATTCCTTTGTTACAATATCGTGGGAGGTTGATGATATATTCAGCTTATACTTGAAACGGAATTGTAAAAGAGAATAAATTATACTTGCGACAGGCTTCTCCCTCTATGGTCAGCACATAATGATCAACAGGCCTATTTTTTATTCCTCTGAGAAAAAACGTAGCGTTTCCTACACTTTGAGAGAACAAGGCATATCCTCAACCAATATAAATGTTTGGAACTGGAACCACATAATTGAATTAAAAATTTCTTTGGATATCTGTCGTTTTCTAAGTGAATAAGTTTGCGCCAGAATTAAATGACGCAATGAATGTAATCTGAAAATAAATTGATCCTTTCTACTTTCTTTAGAACTAAACTTATGGTTGTAGCTTTCCCAAAACACAGAAAGGCTTTCCAGAATTTTACCTGAATATTACCAATCACCTCCAAATTATTGGTATCTCAAATGTCAGAGCCATAAAGCAGCATTGGTTGAATTCTATATCAGATGTTCTTTTGCTGTTTCGAAATTTAATTCTTGGTATAAACTGAAAAGCCTTCTTGTTCGAGAAACAAACCACTGAGCTTTATAAACTCCATCTTCTAGCTTTCGTTTCCGGCATAGACGCGATAGAATTGAAATGACCACGTGACTATAATAATAGTATGTCTCTAAGATCTTACCCTCCCAATAACATCTCTCAGATCTTTAGTGATAGCCTCCATTTCTAAAAACAAGAATATTACTTTTCTTTACATTCTCTATTTTAACCGATATCTGGCTGGAATCATGTAACAAGTTTATTTTCTTTTGTATACCTCTGACATTGCTGTCAAAACGATTTGGATCCTCAGCGTACATTAAACTTAAAATACCAACTTCATTACCTGTATAACATGGGTATTTGATTCTGAAAGATGTTTTTCGAAAATGATATGAGGCCAAGTATACGCCTTGTTTGACACCTGATGTACATTGGAAATATTCAGTAATATAAAATGTTAAGGATTCGCGTTCTTCTGAGTAGACTTTTACACACTAAAGAACATTTTGATATGTTTTTCAAAATGGTATACACTAGTCCAGAACAGCCAAGACTTCCTAATGCAGTCCAAAACTTTTCTATGTCAATCCAATCAAGCTTTAAAAGGGTTGACAAAACATATATAAAATCTTCCGCCAAGCTTTGAATAATATTTTTAAACTAAAGATTTAAGTGAAATATGTTATCAATTATACAATAATTTCGTCAACAACTAGACTGAGATTCAGGGATGAGGTTACCTCATCACACCATTTTTGTAGTCTTTTGTTCAATATGAATGAGAACATAAATTGTACAAACAACATTCAGTAAGCTAATGCTCCTATAATTATTTACATCGTTAACTTTTTCTTTTTTGTGCAAAGTAAATATTGTATACTTAGTCCACTCCCCTGGATAACTTCCAGGGAAGAAAACTGAATTGAAAAGAGATAGGAGAAAGTCAGCCAGATCATGACACCCAAATCAGGCCATAAGACGTCAGGTCCACGAGCCTTGCCAGATGTTTTATAGCCAATACAATTTTACTTCTTGAAATGAGTGAATTAAAATAAATCACATAGCTCACCACAAGGGAAGGCATGAGAATGTGAAGAAACAGTATGGTGTATTAGTATATCTTTTCAATATTGTATGCAAAAGACACGGGCTCGATACCAGTATGAGAAAGTTTTTTAATGAAATGTTAACCTAGTTTCCACGTATTGTTTACTGGAACTTTGTATCCCATTCAGCCTGAGCTTTCTTTGGCAGGAAGGGTGGAACCAGCATATTCCTAAATGATCGAAGTAGTTTTGATAATGTGAGTACTACTGTCAAAGAAGTACAATGGGAGAGAGATGAGTTATATAAATACTCACCAATACGCCATCATAGCTGATGCAGGCCAGCGTTTAAAAAGAGAAATTGTTCAAAGTCGAGATGCTGGCATGTGTTTACGTTGTTAACAATAACCTTCTCAAAGGAAGGTTCTAACGACGTTCTCTGGAGCCTTGTCTTGTCATAAAATATATGTCAATAAATGTAGCCTATAACAATGCCAACGTTTCTTGGCTCAGCTGAGCCAGTGCTGCTTTGTCGAGTATTTCCCCCCTTATCCAGAGCGTGTTTAATCCTCTCCAAAGTGGAACTTTTGGGGACAACCCTAACAATTAAAATCGATTTTGTACTTCCATCTCAGTTGATAACGAACTTTCGAGAAGACGTGGAGATTCCAGGAAGAAAACCGAGTGATGCTCTTTTCTGGATAGTTTGCTTAAAACTCCCGACGATAGTGAAACAGAACTAATACGGAAGATCGTTTCTTATTAAAGGCCTAATATACTGGCAGTTTTTGTTTTAAACATGAACCACTTTTTGATCGGGTACAAAGTTTGGCCTTTTTAGTCTTTACGCTTTTCTTTTCACGTAAGTAATACAGAGGTACTCTGAAAAGTAAAACAAGCTATAAAAATAACAGTATAGGTCTTTATTTTGTGTTCACAGCACTCTTATTAAAAATAGAAAATGTGCCATATTTTCCAG